TCCTCCTCCTCCTCCTCCTCTCCTCCTCCCCCTCCTCCTCCTCCTCTCCTCCTCTTCCTCCTCCTCCTCCTCCTCCTCCTCCTCCTCCTCCTCCTCCTCCTCCTCCTCCTCCTCCTCCCTCCTCCTCCTCTTCCTCCCCCTTGGCCTCGGACCTGGCCGAGCCCGTCCGGGCACCCGCTGCCGAGCGGGCGACCCTGCAGCCCGAGCCCGCTCCGCCGCCGAGCGGCCCCCGAGGCCCCCGCCGCCCTCCTCCGGGCACGGGGCGCCCGCCCGTCGGCTGCCCCCCCTCGGCCCGGCCGTCGGGCGGGGCGCCGAGGCCCGGCGGGCTCTCGAGAGGACCACCCAGACATCGGGCGTCTACAGTTTTTGGCCTCTCGGGGCCCTCGCCGGGCCTCGGGACCGTCAACAAAACGACTCGGGATGAAACACCGGTCCCAGGGAGGTGGTCGGGAGGTCGGGGGCCCGCATCTCGAAGACATCACGGCGTCGGATGTCCGGGCAGGCAGGGCCCCCCGAGCTTCAGGAGCGACAACTGGCATAACCATAGAAGCTCGGAGGTCCGCACGGATTTCTCGGATCCGCGCTGGACCCCCCCTCCCCGGCGCGCGGAGCGCGCCAGGGGCGGCGCCGGAGGCGCCGCCGGGGGGTTCCAGCGCGGATCCGAGAAATCCGCGCGGACCTCCGAGCTTTTATGGTTACGTCATTTTACGTTTCCCTCTCGTTCCCGGTATCCCCGGACCCCCTCGGTTTTCCACCATTTCGTTAGAGGTCTTCCTTCACGGTTGAAAAAGTCATGACGGGAGGTTGTCCTCTTTCGGCCTCGGGAGGCCCTTGCCGGGCTTCGGGGCCGTGAAAAAATCGATTCCGGATGAGAAGCTGGAGTGCCGAGGAGTGCAGTGGAATGGGGAGGGACGGAGAGAGGAGAGAGGAGGGAGGAGGGTGGAGGGACAGCGAAGGAGGAATGAGGAGACAGGAGGAGGAGTACCATGGAATGGGGAGGCCGAGGGAGTAGTGCGTGGAGTGGGGAAGACTCCAGAGAAATGGGGAGGAACGCCGAAAATCCAGATGTCCAGGGGAATGGGTCGAGACCTCTGCTGGGGTCGACGCCACGAAGAAAACTCCCGACGTCGGGCTGGTCTGGGTCCGCGGGACTCCTGCGCGGGAGCTGCGGCTTCTCTCGCTCCGCGTGCTCCCCCTCCCTTTATGCCCCGACCAGCCCGCACAGGGCTTCACTTAAGTCGGGCCTGTCCCCCATACAAGGGGATTTTCGACGACAAATAAAACATACCCCAAACATAATCAAACAATATTCCAAAAATAATTTGGGGATTATTGTTTGAGTATGTTTTGACCTTTTGGGGGCATTTTGGGGGATATTCTGTATTTTCCCCTGTAGGGGGACACGCCCGACTTAAGGCTTCACCTGTATCTCAGGGGAGCAAGCAATGACATGAGCATGAGCTCTCGGAGGTCCGCGCGGATTGCGCGGATCGGCGCCGGAGCCCCCGGGCGGCTCCGAGCAGTCCGCGCGGACCTCCGCGGGCTTATATGCCTTTCTCATTGGTTGTGTCTCTTTGTCTGCTCCGCGAGTCCTCTTCTTCCAGGAGGGAAAATAGCAGGCGCACGCACACACACAAACACACAAACACACAAACACACAAACACACACCACACACATAGACACACACACACACATAGACACACACACATATACACACAAGCGCCGATGCCCAGGAACATGTGGGAACAGATGGGGAAAGGAGGAGGCAAGACGGCAACCCAGAAAACACATGGACAGGGGGAACCCTGGAGTCTGTACACATTCCCAGACCCCCGACGTCATGTTTTTTTCATGACGTCGACCCTGAGAGGTCTCGACCCATTACCCAGGACCGGTTTTTCATCCTGAGTCGTTTTTTGACGGTCCCGTGGCCCGGAGAGGGCCCCCAAGGGCCGAACATGCAGAAAAACCTCCCGCCACGATTTTTCCATCGCCCGAGGGGGTCTGGGTTCAATCGTGTCTCCCTGGGCCTCACGTGCTCTTGGCCTCGTGCTTCTTCGGCATCGGGCCCCGAGGAGGAGGAGGAGGAGGAGGAGGAGGAGGAGGAGGAGGAGGAGGAGGAGGAGGAGGGAGGAGGAGGAGGAGGAGGGAGGAGGAGGAGGAGGAGGAGGAGGGAGGGGGACGAGGAGGGAGGAGACGAGGAGGGAGGAGGGAGGAGGGAGCGCCGGCGCGACCCGCCGAGAGGAGCTCGGCGGCGGGGGCTCGAGCCGCAGCCCGGGCCGCCGGGCCGCCGGAGCCCCAGGGGCAGCCGCTGCCCGTGGAGCCCAGCGGGAGAGGGAAGGGGCCTTTCTCGGGCCGGACGAAAGGGGGGGATTGGGGAAAGGGGGGGTTATACGGGATGACGACATTGGGAAGGGGGGATTGGGAAAGGGGGGGTTATACGAGATTGCGAGATTGGGAAAGGGGGGTTTGGGAAAGGGGGGGTTATACGAGATTGCGAGATTGGGAAGGGGGGGGGGGTTGGGAAGGGGGGGGGTGGGAAAGGGGGGGATTGGGAAAGGGGGGATTGGGAAAGGAAAGGTTGCCTCACCGAGGTGCCCGTTCCTCGATACATAGCCGCCTCCGGCGCCGGGAGGCGCCGGGAAAATCAGCTACGTGAGCTGATTCTCAAACCCCCCTCTTTGCTATCCCCCCCTTTCGCCCGACCCGACCTTCTGAGCCAGAGCAGGGTTCGAGTGGGGGATCGACTATAGAATTGATGTGCCCCAAACTTGGTTTTCTCGTCGAACCCATGAGGCCTGCGAAGAATCTTCATAGATCTACGAGCATAGTATTCATGACTCGGCGAGAAAAAACAGTTTTGGGGTCAATCAATTCTGTAGACGATCCCGTACTCGAAGGGTGGGGGCGTTCGTCCCCAGACAGGATCGCGTCGTAGACAAAAATCGGGGCGGGAGGTGTCTGGCAATTTTCGGCCCCCTTGGGGCCCTCGCCGGGCCTCGGGACCGTCAAGAAACGAGTCAGGAGGAAAAAGCAGTCCTGGGGACAGGGTCGGGACTTCCAGGGAGGCCGTCTTGGAAAAATCAGGACTTCGCATGTCTGGATTAATGAATGTGCCCAGGAAGCTTCAGACCCTGCGGGCTTCCCGATCTGATGAGGGCGGCGGTGATAATTATCCATACGACCACCCTTCGGGTGATCAGGAGTTTTTGGGGGGGAGGGGGGGAACCAACATCTGACTCAATCGATCTCACTATCGATCTCACTCAACGGGACACCTCGGGACACCACGGGACACTTGTCGATCTCACTATCGATCTCACGATCGATCTCACTCAACGAGACACCACGAGACACCTAGGGACACCACGGGACACCTCGGGACACCACATCGATCTCACTATCGATCTCACTGTCGGTCTCACTACCGATCTCACTCAACGGGACACCACGGGACACCACGGGACACCTGTCAATCTCATTATCGATCTCACTATCGATCTCACTTTTTGGGACACCACGGGACATCTCGGGGCACCACATCGATCTCACTATCGATCTCACTATCGGTTTCACTCAACGGGACACCACGGGACACCACGGAGCACCTGTCGATCTCATTATGGATCTCACTATCGATCTCACCTTTTGGGACACCACGGGACACATCGGGGCACCACATCCATCGCACTATCGATCTCTGGGACACCACGGGACGCTACGGGACATCTCGGGGCACCACATCGATCTCACTATCGATATCACTCTCGGTTTCACTCAACGGGACACCACGGGACACCACGGGACACCTGTCAATCTCATTATCGATCTCACTATCGATCTCACTTTTTGGGACACCACGGGACACCACGGGACATCTCGGGGCACCACATCGATCTCACTATAGATCTCACTATCGGTTTCACTCAACGGGACACCACGGGACACCACGGAGCACCTGTCGATCTCATTATGGATCTCACTAACGATCTCACCTTTTGGGACACCACGGGACACATCGGGGCACCACATCGATCGCACTATCGATCTCTGGGACACCACGGGACACTACGGGACATTTCGGGGCACCACATCGATCTCACTATCGATATCACTCTCGGTTTCACTCAACGGGACACCGCAGAACACCACGGAGCACCTGTCGATCTCATTATGGATCTCACTATCGATCTCACTTTTTGGGACACCACGGGACACATCGGGGCACCACATCCATCGCACTATCGATCTCACTATCAATCTCACTATCGATCTCACTCAACGGGACACCACGGGACACTGCGGGACACCGAGGGCTATCGCCGAACGGACGGACGGGGGATAATCATTGTCGTGACTTCGCCCTAGCAACGGCGGACGTCACGGGACACCGCGGGACACTGAGGGCCACCGCCGGACGGACGGCCGGAGGAGAAACACTTCTCTTGACTTCGCCCTGGCAACGGCGGACACCGCGGGACACCGAGAACCACCGCCGGACGGACGGAGGAGAATCATTGATCCTGACGTCGCCCTAGCAACGGCGGGTTCATTCCTCTCGGGCGCCCGCGCAGCTTCGCCTTGCCCGCTCGCGCGACACGAACGAAACGAAACTTCCCGGTTGGGGGTCTCCGTTCCACTGTGATCTCACCCCCCAGCCTCCGATCCATGGGCCAGGCTCAATTGGTGTCCCACCGGCTTTCAGACACTGTTTTTTTTTCTATGGTTCTTTATACAGTGCCTTCACCGTAGTGGGGGTAGCAGAGAGTGGGGGAAGGCAGAGAGGTGCAGTAGTATGTTCAGTAATGTCTTACATGAATGCAATACGTTCCGGTCTGGGCGCAATACTTGCGTGTGGATGCTATCGTGTGTTCGTCTCAGCGCAGTAGCTTACACCTCTCGCAATAGTTCGTGCTCATCAGCAATAGTTCGCGCAAGAGTTCGCGCAAGCGAATTATTGTACCTCCCACCGCCCCCCATTGGCGTTGCCACCCTGAGTCGGTGCTCATTTCGGCTCTCTCGTTTCGATTCGATGCGGTTTCGGTGGGTTCCAACTCCGATTCGATTCGACCTCGGATTCCGATCTCGATCTCGGTCTCTCAATCCCTGCCGGCCTGCCGCCTTCACCCGGCTCGACTTGACTTCGGACTCCGATTCGGACTCCGGTTCTTCGGCGGAGGTCTTACCAGCCTGCCGATTTCCGCCCGTTCGACTTCTCTCCCTGCGTGGCTGCCGATGTCCGAGCACCCGGTCCATGTCGATCGCCAGGCCAGCTCATCGATTCGGTTATGGGCGCTTTCCTGCTCCAGGATAGTCGAGTAAGTTTTGGGTGTTGTTATTTCTCTCTCTCTCTCTCTTTCTCTCGTTGTTTCTCTTTCTTTATGTTGTTCTCTCTTTCTGTCTCTCTCTCTCTGTCTTCCCAGATTCAGGATATTCATTTTTTTGTGTTTCTTTTGTCTCTCTCTCTCTCTTTGTTTCTCCCTATTTCTCTCTCTCTCTCTCTTCTCCCTCTCTTTCTCTCTAAGGCATGCTGTTGTTTGATATGGGCAGAGATGCGGGCCCAGCTTTGAGCTCGCTACTGCTGTGCGCACTCCCGCGCCTGCACCTAGTTTCGCAGGAACCCCTGAGCCACACAGAGCAGCGCCGGGAATACACATGAGCGGTCATTAGGAACATACCTCCTCACGATTTACTCCGAGAGCCCCTGGCCAAGAAGGCCCCTGAACTCAGGAACGGCGCTCTCGCTCGAGACTTTCCCGTGATTCATGCAAGTTGGTGGCGGCACAGACACAGCGACAAGGGCTCCCGTTCCGAGAGCCCTTGGCCAGAGAGGCCCCCGAACTCAGGAACGGCGCTCTCGCTCGAGACTAGTTCGCACTTCAGTCAGTGGTCGACAAAGAAGAGACTCCCCCCGAAAGGGGGTGCAATCGAAGACGAAGTGGGCGGGTATCGAGGGTTGGGGTATGACACGCATGCCAGTGAGCGAACCATCTTGAAATGATGGTTTTTGTTGTTGTTGTTGTTGCTGTTGCTGCTGCTGTTGTTGTTGTTGTTGAACATTATTAATTCTAAAGAATAATTATTGTTGGGCCCCCTGGTGCGCGCCCCCCCCGCCGCGCCTAGGCCGCAGCCACGTTTTCATCATTTTCGTTCATCGAGTTGTAATCCGGTTGTTTTGTTTTCCCTTGCAAAAAACACTATAAAATGACATTTCTTGTTCTAATATAATCAAATTTCAAGAATCCCTTGCAAAAAATAAGGTAAAGTGGACATTCGCGCGCGCAAGACGAAATCCTTCCAAAAGCTTAGTGTTCGGAGCGATTTTAACATAAAAACATCAAAAAACCAATGGTTTTTCAACAAAAAAATGTCAAAATCTCATCCCGCGCGCTCTTGCGGATTCGTAGGAAACCCAACACTTTTTAAACATTTCTGTCAAACGGGCTTTTGCGAGCAACTTTTTCGAACTTCTGCGACAACGGTTGCGCACCTGCCAGGGCCATCATCCCTGTCAAATAATACCATGCGGGACACATTCGTTTTTTCTTCGCGCGCGCACGCCGAAATCTCCAAAAACCATTGGGTTCTGTGGGTGTGTACCCCACGCCAGTGTAGTAGCCACGGTCGTCCGCACGCCACGAAGTGAAGTGTCCCAACGTCATAGGGCGGGAAGCTGGGTTTGGGTGGTCGCGAAGAGTCGTTTGGATATTTGGTAGAGCTTGTAATGCCCCCCCACGAAGTGGGGGTATTGCCTGGTGTCGTATGAAAACCCTGGCACTGGGGAGAACACCACGCGTTCGGGTAAAATGATTGTTGTTGTTGTTGTTGTTGTCGTTGTCGTTGTCGTTGTCGTTGTCGTTGTCGTTGTCGTTGTCGTTGTCGTTGTCGTTGTCGTCGTCCCCCCCGCGACCCACCCGCGACCCACCCCGCGACCCACCCCGCGAGCCACCCGAGACCCACCCCGCGACCCACGCGACCCACCCGCGACCCACCCGCGACCCACCCGCGACCCACCCCGCGACCCACCCGCGACCCACCCCGAGACCCACCCGCGACAGACCCCGCGACCCACCCGCGACCCACTTGCGACCCACCCGCGACCCATCCCGCGACCCACCCGTGACCCACCCCGCGACCCATCCGCGGCCCACCCGCGACCCACCTGTGACCCACCCCGCGACCCACCCGCGACCCACCCGCGACCCACCCACATTGGTTTGAAGAAAAAATCGGCGCCTGCCGCGGGCTTGTTGCATGATTTGTAAAACTGTGGTGCCTGCGGCGGGCTTCTCCAGAGTCTCGCAGACTGCCGCCGCCCCCACCGCCCCCTCACTCTGATCCGCACCTGCGGGGTGCTACGTGAGCCCCGTGGGTGCTCGTCGCGATCTCGTGGGAGGCCCCTCGGGGGCCTCTTTAGGAGCCGTTCGGAGGCCCCTTTTTGGGGGCCGGTCTCGGGCCTTTTGGGGGGGCCTCCCCGCTGTGGAGGCCAAACGTTGCCCCGAGGGCAATCGGCGCCGAGCCAACATGCCGATGCGACGTGTGCGTCGCCCCTCCCAGGGTCGGCGCGCCTGCCGAGACGCCTTGCGGTGTACGCGGCGCGGCGGCGGGCGCTTTTTCTGGCCACACCCCTCGGGGGACGAGCTTCGCGGGCCCCAGCAGCTGCCGGGGTCGGTTTTGTCACAGGTTCCAAAAACAAGTGTTCTGAGGGAGCCGGCAAGAAAAACCGGCGACCGGAAACGGCAACACAAGCGGCTCCGCGGGATTTCGGCCAGAGCCGGGGCCGGCAAGGCATCGGCGACGCGGGACCGGCAAAAAACAGCGGCGTCGGAACCGGCAAGAGAGCGGCAGAGCGGAACCGGTGAAGAAGTAGCTCTGTCGTTTCCAGGGCCCACGGGAGGGAACGACTTGATGCAGGATGGTCGTGCGCCACAGTCGGGTCGGGCGCACGGCTCCGAGGAGCCCCGCGCGCCGGGGGCAGGCGGTTCTTACGTGGGCTGATTCTCTACCCTGCCTTTTGCTGTCCTACCCTTTCGTCCCCCCCGACCTTGGACAGGATAGGGGAAGGCGGGGTTACGAAACCTGCCTGCTGCATGCAGCTGGTTTTCGCCCCGCCGCGGGGCTCACTCCTCGATACACGGGCGCCTCCTGGCGCCAGGAGGCGCCAGGTAAATCCGCTACGTGAGCTTAATTCTCTACCCTGCCCTTTGCTGTCCTACCCTTTCGCCCCCCCCCCCGACCGTGTCTGCTGTCGTGCCCAGGAGCTGGCCTCTCGACGTCAGCAGCACGAGGATAGCGTGTCCGTCGCGGAGTCGTCGCCGCGCGAAGCGTCACCGCGACGGAGGTTTGAGTATTCCGCAGACATCTTGTCGCACTGGAGTCGTATCGTCGCTGCCCTCGATGAGATGCACAGTTCTGGATTGTCCCAGATACACAGCGCCTGGGTCGAAGCCAAAGAATTCACCCTCTTCGTTGCCAACCCAGCGCATGATCAGCGGAGGGGCGCGTTTGCCGCCGACCCAGACGCTCCAGCATTAGCACTGGGCGCCAATTTCGCGTTCAAGAAGTCCAGCACGAGAGATTCCAGGAAGATCGGTACCCTGGCCGCGGATTCCGAGCCAGAGGGCCTGGGACGTGCCTGGCAGGTCGTCCGCTTACTGTTCCTCATCGTCCTGCCGCCCTTCACCAGGTTCCGGATCCTCTGGGACCTGGTGGGCATGGCGCTGTGCGTCCACGACGTGACGATGTTCCCGGCGCTGGTGTTCGAGCTTTCGGAGGACTTCGTTGGCGAAGCACATCTCCATCTCCGCGCCATCACGGGCCGGGCCCCTGGGCCGCGACCCCGCGGACACGTGGCGGGTCTTCGCGGATGCCCCGCGCGAAACGTATCCGTGCGACCGCGTAAGTATCCACGGGGTCACGCCCAGGAATCAAGACCGCAAGGGCGAGGATACGGATGTGTTCGCCCCTCGTGAGGACTACCTCGCGTTCCGCCTCCACTTCGATTGGTGCTCCGCCGTCTTCTGGACGCTCGACATCCTGCTGAACTTCAGGACGGGGTACATGGCCTCGGACGGCCTGCTCGAGATGCGCAGGGACAGGGTCGCGCGGCACTACATCCGCTCGTGGTTCGTCCCAGACCTCGGGGAGCAAGAACAGTTTCTCCCGCCCTGATCGACTACGGAAATTAATTTTCCCAAACATTGATTTCCACGTCGACCCTTCAACAAAAATACGTCAACCATTCGTAGACCTGCGAAACTTCTACGAATTGCCCGTGGTTTCGACACGAAAAATCAATTCTGGGGCAAACCAATTCTGTAGTCGATCTCCTACTCCAAGTTTGGGCGTCGTGAGGTGGGGGGCGATGAATGAGGGGGGCAGCGAGCGCTGCAGAAAAGGGACCCTCTGGGCCCCCCCAAAAGGGGCCCTCCAGGGCCCAGAAGGGCGCCTCTCGGGCCCGACAGTTGCACCTTTCCCCCCCTCCCGATTCATCGTCACCCCGTTGAGCGACGCGCAAGCAGTATCAATGTGACGCCGCTGTCGGGAACCAATCATAATGTAATTGCTGACAAAAAAACAGGCCGTCAAGCCACAGCGAAGAAGAAGAAGAAGCACGCCGACGAGCCGCCAGCAGCCGCGTGTTACCGACAATCGTTCTCACTCCTAAGGACCTCATTGTCACGATCTTCGACTGGGTCTTCCTGCTCATCAGCACGGGCGGCACTGGGATACTCCGCGTCGTGAAGGCTGTCTCGCGGGCACGGAGGGCATTGCGGCTCCTGCGAATGCCGAAGGTGAACGCCACGTTCAATCAGATCGTGGGCGCGATGAATTCGGAGAGCATGAGCATCGTAGCGGGCCTCGTCAAGTTTCTGCTGATCTTAATCTTAGTGACCCACTACGTGGCGTGCGTCTGGTACTGGCTGGCCGACACGGACCGCCGCCTAACCTGGAGAGACCGGTTCTTGGATTCCGACGATTCCGAGGTGTACGGCTATTGCATCCAGTTGCCTGCGGCACACTCGGCCGCCGTGCCTACGGCATGTGATGGTGACACCGAGCTGTCGAGGAATACTCGGTACATTGTCCCGTGACAGTCGGGGGTGGCCAAGAAGGGGACGACGATTATGCGGAGGGGGGGTAGAAACCAACCCCGTTTCGTGTGCGTTTTAGGTGTATCCGATAGGTTTAGCTTTACACTGTTTTTTAAGTGCTGCGAATGAAGCTGTTTGCACGAGCGGGATGTGCAGAGAGATGTGAAGGCTGGCATTGTGGCTCAAGATCTGGAAACCTCTTTGTCATTGGTCTTGCTGCCATAGGGGTCATCAGGACTGAGGCCATGAAATCTCCTCAGATTTCATGGACCCCTCTTCTTCTCTCAATCTTCCCTCAATATGTCACCGTGACGTCACCTGGTCCACCCCACTCGTCAGCGCACATGCCTCGGGCCATGATTTGCGAGCCCCCTTCCTGGAAGCCCCCCCCCGCTGGGACGGCCCCGAGACAGTCTCGGAAACAGGCGCCACGCGCACAGCAATAATATGGGGGGGTGGCAGAACGTTGCACAGCTGCTGCCTAGCTTCAAGTCGGACATGTCCCTCTACAGGAGGAATATTCAACAATAGTTCATCTGGTCAATCTTGGTGCTCAAACTGGGCCTTCCTCATCCTTCCTCAACAAGTCCGTTCATCCTACTCTCTCGCACGCTCATGCCTGCAGCGATGTCTTCTTCGGGTGCGAGTGGGGACGCGCGCGTGCCAGGCACCCCTGTCAGGCAGCTGTTCAGCGGTGACCGTCTCCCACCTTCTTCGCCACCGTCGACCCCACTTCTAGGCAAGCCCAAAGCAAAGGTAATGAGGATTGACAGCCCGCTGAATGAGATGGACAGGGTTGCAAAACCAGCTCCCGAAGATCTCCCAACAGCACGTCAACAGCAGTACGAGCATGCTCTTGCATGGGCATCTTCAAGCACGCCGGCAACGCTAGAGGCGATCGAGAAGCTCTTGAAGCCGATTCAGAAGGACATCGCGGCTATAAAGGCACACGGAGTCTCTCAACGTGATATTCAAGATGCCGTGTCACCACTGAAGGCTTCGTTAGGGAATCTGGAAGCGCGAGTGGCAGCTATCGAAGTTGGTCCCTTGCGACCTGCATCTACCCGGACGGCATCAGATACCTCGTTGAGCCCTGAGGTTGAAGCACGCCTCGGAACTTTGGAGCGCCAATTTGCCGACCTATGCCACGCCCCACAGCAGGCAACTGAGACGATTGTTTTCGGGAACTTGGGGGAAGTGGGGTCGCTAGAAGAGGCAGTCGCATTTCTCAAACAAGAGATGGCAAAGTCAAACATGCCAGCGCCGAGTGACATCTACATGAAAGGTGACATCCACAACGGTATTGCTTTTTGCAAAGATGAGTGGCGACACAGATGCAGAGACAGCGCGGCGCATGTTACGAGCTTCACCGATTTCTTACACGAACAAAAGAAGCTGGGCACATAAAGATAGGGCAGCCTCTATCAGGATCCCGATCCCGATGCTATTCGGCCTGAAGCGGCTTCTGGTGCAGTGGGGCTTCAAGAAACACAGCGTTCAGATAGACGACTGGAAGCTCACCATGCACGCCGGGGGCGAGCACATCCTATCAGTCTGCTCCGTGGGAAGTGCGCCCAAGCCCACATGGCCCAGCGCAGAGTAGGATAATTGAGACCTCCAGAACGATGCGGCTTTCATCGAGCTCCGCACGTCCTGCGAGGAAGCCCTGGCCCGTGCCGCTGACATGGGAAAAGGGAAAGGGAAGGAAGGGAGAAATTGACGGGGCCCGGAGGGCGAAGACACTGTTCCACCCAATCGTTTTTCAGCGCCGTTGGGATGCCCGCGCCCACGTGGAACCTTGAGTGCACAAAGCGGGCACGTCACAATCGCCACGTGGAACGTCACCGGTTTAACCGGCGAGAAGCTTGACACACACTTTGCGAAACAGTGCGTGGTTTGAAGATTGATTTTCTCTGCCTCCAGGGGACATGGGCTTCGAAAGCAGAGTACTACACAAACGACGGGTATCGTATTATTTTGTCAGGTTCGGAAAATACCATATCGTTGAATGGATTCAAATATATCGCTGGAGACTTCAATGCCCGGCTTGGCCAACAACGGCGAGGCGAAGAACATGCACTTGGGCCGTGCATTTTTGGAGAAGAAGCGAACGCGCAAAGTAGAGTCACCCAACCGGGATGTATTGATGGAGTTCTGCACGGTACAGCAGTACAGCATCAGCAACACTTCTCAGCACGCGCCCGACGGACAACGGATTTCGGACATGGAGAGCGGCACAACACCCAGCGACGCCATTTTGCCGGACAGATTTGCTTTGCTCGATTTGTTTCTCGTACCGGGCGTAAGTTTTGACCGGGTGGTGTCCGTTGAAAGCCACCGAGAAGTAGCATTGGGCACGCGGCACTTCCTAGTATGTTGTCAGATCGACCTCGACATTCAGCATTCTCAACCACGTCGACATTATTCGAAAACAGAGGGAGTTTGCAAACACCTGGTATACGACAGCAATTCGTTGCGGCGTTTTCGGAGAATTGCCCGGAAGACGTTGGCGTCGCTGACGTGGTCGAAGCTTCCTGGCAAAACATATCGGCCGCGATCGGGGCTGCATCCGAGGTCTTGCCTGACGAGCCGCCCCAACCAGACGACCGTGGATCAGTGGCCGGACAGTGCAGCTTATCCAAGAAAGCGCGCAGGCTCGAGTGGACGGGAACGCCGTTTTGGAGAAAGAGAAGCACAAAGCTGCACGAACATCTGCAAAAGAAGATAAATCCAAATGGCTGGAAGATTCGGTGGCGACTGGTTCCTGGAACGATATCCGGAAGTTCCGAAAACCCCGTCCCGCCAAGCAGGGGCGGCTCCGGAACTTCCAAGGATAATTAGTCAGCAGCGAAGACCGAGCAGATACCATGGCAACATATTCGAGACGGTGCAATGGGGCGTGCGCCCAGCCGACGCTGTCGACGCACCCGCCGCGGGACCTGCGTTGCCGGCCAACTTGGCCAATTCCACGGATGACGAGGTCAGAACATGTTTGCGTAAGCTGCGCGATGGCCAAGCACCCGGGCCAGACGGCATCCCACCAGAATGATGAAAGGCACTTGCAGACGACTCCACGGCATTACAACGCATCACGACTTCCGTGAATCATTGTTGGCAAGGGCGAAGGGTTCCGCAAGGATGGCACAAAGCAAGGGTAGCAGCAACGCGCAGGAAATGAACAAACACAAAAAAACTTATGATTACGCGAACTATCGACCAATCAGTCTTCTCGCGATTGGGCACAAAGTATTCGCGTCTTTGTTGCACCGACGTTTGGTGGAGGCAGGGGCCGATTCCAGGCTGACGGGATCGCAATGTGGTTTTCGATCGAAGCATAGGACACAAGAGACGATTGCAATCTGTATGCATTGGCCTTGGATTGGCAAACAGCTTTCGACTCCATCAGCCCTTCGGCCACACTGCGCTGTCTGCGACGTTTCGGCTTGCCCGAGCACATATTGGAGGTCATGAGTGCGGCTTGCAGCGACAGAATCTTCGAGGTGCGGGACTGCGGGGCGACTTCTCCCTCGAGGCCGCAGTCCTCCGGGATATCGCAAGTATGCCTTCTATCACCCTTCTTGTTCGTGGTGGCCATGGCAGTAATCATCGAAGACGCTGTCTCCCAACTTGCAGCAGGACGCAGCACTCTGGGACAGTGGATCCCTTTACGTTTTGCCGCGCGCGGATGACGCGCTGATTCTGGGAAAGACGACGCCGGCAGTGGAAGACACATTAGCTGCTATCCAGATGTCTGGGAAATCCTGTGGCGTGGAGCTGCACCAGGGCAAGTTCCAACTGTTTCAAATCAGATGCGTAAGTAGTATTCAGGATTCGAATGGACACATCATACGGGCGCAAGAAGACATGATTTATTTGGGCGCTTTGATTTCTGGAACAGGCGCCGCGGGCAAGGAGCCCAGTCGCCGCCCGGGCGCGGAGCGCGCCGACTTTGACAAGCTGTCCAAGATATGGCGGCATTCAGGCTTGAGCAGGCGAAGAACATTGAGGTCTGCAGCGCCGTCGTTCTTAGCAAACTCACGTATGGTTCACCGACTTTGTGGCTGAATGCTGCGGAGAGAAGGCGGCTGGATGGCTTCCATCGCCGGTGTCTTCGCGTAGTGCGGGGAATCGAACCAGCGTGCATCTCCAGGGTGAGCAACGTGATAGTCTTAGACAAAACGGGACAACACCCTCTGACGGACAGTGGCACGACAGCAGTTTTTCCTGCTTGGCAAAATCGCCAGGACACCAGAAGGGAGCCTCCTCAGGAACGCCACCTTCTGTCATGGAAGTTCCAGGCCGGCAGCAGACCGATGCGTGAGAAAGGTAGGCGGGCCACGCGCAGACTGGACGACCCATGTGCTGCGAGTCGCTTGCGCGGCGGCAGGCGGCGTGTCAAAGTTAGACTCACTCTTGGCGAATGAAGTTGCCTGGCGGCAGTTCGCGCGCTCAGCAAAGCTGACCTCATGGCGCCGCGCGGTCCGAGTTTGAGCTTTTAGTCAGCAGCACTTTTCCAGTCCAGTGTCCAACGCACCTCCGGGCGTATGACTTCTCACCACCAGTAGGAAAAAGTCGGGGGACGATTTGTTGATTATTTTTGTTGGCTATTATTTGGCATGTTTGAATTATTGCTATAATGCCAAATCCACCATATGGAGGACATGCCCGACCTAATTATAGCTCTTGGTGGGGGGTTCCGAAAAGTTCTTGATTGTCTTCTGGGGAGCCTAGTCGGGATGTATTTGGGGGCATGCGGCCCTCGCCTTCGGCGACGCTTGGCCTCGGCGAAGCGCGCGGCGGAGTCTGGCGGCGGACAAGTAAGACGGCGGCGGGTCCCCCAGCAGAAGGTCGGCGGAAAGCGGTGGACGCGAGAGTGTGACGTCAACGTCTTCGGATGCCCCCTGG